GAGAAGGCTCTGGTCAGCAGCCACTCCACCTGGGACCTCTCAGTCCCCAGCGCTGTCTGTTGTCCACTACTCAGCCTCGGTATCCTGCCACAGCAGCGCAACAAAGGCCAAGAAGACAAAGGCCAAGAAGCCCTGAGCCAGCACCCTGAGTCCAACCAGGCACGGTTCATGGGGACCCAGTGCAACACCGGTGCCCAGGACCAGTGAGCGCTGGGTACCTGCAGCCCTGGGTACCTGCAGCCCTGGGTACCTGCAGCCCTGGGAGCAGGAGGCCAGGTGAAGTCGGGTGAAGATGAGAACAAGGGCAACACCCTCCCCCACGGCCTCAGCAGTGCATCCGTGCAGCCCCCAGCCCCAAATTCAGCTTCAATGTGAAACACAAGGGCTGGGGATGTGGCTCAAGCAGTAGCGTGCTCACCTGGCATGCATGCGGCCCGGGTTCGATCCTCAGCACCACCTACAAAGATGTTGTGTCTGCCGAGAACTAAAAAAAGTAAATATTAAAAAATTCTCTCTCTCTCTCTCTCCCCCTCTCTCTATCTTTAAAAAAAATGTGAAACACAAGGTGGATGAGGAGAAGATAATCCTGAATGGGACTGGTTCTCAATCTAAAGGGGCTAGGAAGTCACAGAATTTGACTTTGTTTATCCGACGGCCTGGATCAGGTCTTTGTTAAGCAGCTGGGGACTCAGAGGTAGAAATGAAATTGTTCTGGAAAAGGAGGTCATTTGGGGGAACGACGCTCATGACTGAAATCTGTACTCACCATAAACCTAAGGCAGATGCCCGAGTGCTGTAGGTGGGGGACATTCTTTTCCTCTCCTCTTTCTTCCCAGGCCCAGAAGGAACTGCTAACTCATATTATGGGATCACTCCTATTCTCCCTTTAGAAATTAAACTTGTATTTTGAGGTAACCATAGATTCACAGGCATTTGATATTTGTAAGAAATGATACAGGGAAATCTCGGGTTCCTTTTACCCTGTGTCTTCCAATGCTGATGTCCTGCAACTATACACAAATTACAGCCAGGATACTGAGAGCCATCCAGGCATGCTGTGGAAGGTTCCATCTGAAGCGAGGTTATTCTTGGGGCCCAGAGGCTGAGCGCATATGAATGCAATGGTTTTGTGTACTATAAAGAGAAGGCTCTGGAATAGATATCCACCCACGGGGACACAGCTGAGATGAGACCTCTCTCCAGAGCAGAAGGCAGAGGCAAAAGAGCCCTCCCTCGGGCAGCAAGGCCACAAGCAATTCTGTATCTTCTTGCTCAGCGAGTGCAAAGTCTAACGGAGTCACCTCCACAGAGACCATGAGAGCTCTGTGATAATGGGGGGTTGGGGCGATTTTCGAGGAGTGAGCTGAGCTGAGGGGAGAGTCTCCAGGAGAAAAGTCCTGTTATATCAGATGTCTCTAGGACACAATTGGAGCAAGATGGCATCTTCAGGCTGAGCTGTGGAAATTCAACATCAACCCTCTCCACAGACACGCGCTCTCTTGATCCTCCACTCGTCTCCCCTGGCCCAATATGGTGCACACCCAGACCCCAGTCATCATCTGGAGCCTGTGAGGATGTGCAGGTTGCCCTGTGAACTGACCTACAAAGTTCAGGACGATGATAACGGAAGGCATCATGGTGCTATCTACTTCTGCCGTACTTCAAAGAGGAATAAAGGGGGTGGACTAGGCCACACACTTGGTTAGAAACCACGTCAGGATGAGAAGTCAAGTGGTCCCACTCTGTGTCCTGTTCAGCAATCCAAATAAAATCAAGTGTTTTAGTACAAGAATTCTGTTCGCAGCCTCCCTGCACCAGGGTTGCTCTCTAAAGCAAATACAGGGAAATCTCGCTGGCAGAGCTCTAGCTAAAGGGGAAGGCAGGTGAGTAGGACCCTCTGCCTACTGTGGCGGGCACAAAGCAGGCTGCCCGCAATTTGACCATTGGTAAAGCACCCAGGAAATGACTGGCTATAAGAGGGCACCCTCTCCTCATCGTTACAGGCTGGGTAAGTAACACTCTGGGAACTCAGACGTTACCAGGAGCCCACTGAACCTCTATTCAAAAACTCCCCTTCCAGCGTCTGGGGTGAGAAATTGCTCAGAACTTTAAAACAGCTCTGTGTCTCCAGAGCACAGGTACTTGTGCTTTGCAGGAGGCAGGCGAGGCTTCCCTGGCTGGCGTTTTTGAGACACCAACCTGTGTGCTGTCCATGCCAAACAGGTAACAGTTATGGCAGAAGACATCTAACTTGTACACAGCATTCATGAGAACATGCTAAAGGATTCACTACCACAGGAAACACTTCATTCCTGAAAACATCTTCTTTTTTTCTCTTCTTCCTAATGTTGGTAGTTCTAAGTGCTAGATGTTTTTTACCCATGGGGTCGAAAGGTACCTAGGTATATAATTATGAGGGGGATGGATAATAGGGGATGGGTAGTGGATATGGGTTCATTTGTGTGTTAATTTTTAATATAAATGCAGGATGTAAAGCACTAATGTAACTCAAAAGGTTTCAGTGAACAAGTTTCAGCAGTTCAATTTTATAAACAATAATAAATAAAAGTGTTAACTTTTTCTGGATATGCCAGCATTTGGATTTTTTTAAACAGGTAGATTTCTTATCGATGGCAACTGCATGGTTCTGGTAACATCTTTATCATACTGTAGATTCCATCCATTCACTATGCTTCTTGAGTTGTTCTACTTTCAAGTGTGTTTTTAATGGTGTTTTTCTTCTGTGCTGTTCCCATAAGAGTCTGCTATTAAAACACATTAAGCTATGAAAAAGTTTCTTGCTATAAATCATGACCAAGGGAGCACCATCAATCAAAAAGGCAGACAGACGTGCCAGAAAGCCACTGTCCTTCCTTGCACTTTCCAGGGGCTTTTGTGGATTCTCTGGCCAAGAAGGGTCAAAAACGTCAGTTAAAGACATAAAAGCAGCATAACAAGGACATATTTTCATCTCAGTGGATTTCCCTACAAGATGAGTGGGTTCTTTTGGTACTGGGGATTGAACTCAGGGGCACTTGATCACTAAGCCACACCCCCAGCCCTATTTTGTATTTTATTTAGAGACAAGGTCTCCCTGAGTTGCTTAGTGTCTTGTTTTTTGCTGAGGCTGGTTTTGAACTCATGATTCTCCTGCCTCAGCCTCCTGAGCTGCTGGGATTACAGGCATGCACTGGGCTGTTTTTGTTTCTTTTTTAACATTTATTTTTTTACATGTAGTTGGACACAATATCTTTATTTTATTTTTATGAGGTGCTGAGGATCGAACCCAGGGCCTCACACATGCTAGGCGGGTGCTCTACTGCTGAGCCACAATCCTAGCCCCCCAAGCTGATTTTTGATGAGAGGTTAAAGATGCTGAGTCTAAGCACACTTGGGAGCCAGACTGCTTAGACTCAGGCTCCAGGTCTTACTAGCTGTACGACCTTGGGTAAGTTAACCTCTGTGTCTTGGTTTCCCCATCAATAAAAGAGGGATAATAGTATCTACTTCATAGGTTGTTATGAGGATTAAGCAACAGTCTCATTATTTTACATGTATATGTTACTTAGAACAAGGCCGTACACACAGTAAACTCTACAGCAGAGTCACCTACTGTGAGTGAATACAAGGTCTTCTTTTCTTTGGATGTGCCACAATTTACTTGGCCAATCCCCTATTATGGTGTATTTGGGGGTTTTAATTTTTTTTGGTGTTATTCAAAAGAGGATAAATTCTCAGTAAACCATTTGGAAATAAATGTCTACAATAATCTACTTATAAGTCCCACTGGACAGGTGAGTGCTATTTCCTTCTCATTCCCTTGGTGGCAGAGTAGGCTAGGAAACATAGAGTCCAATTGGGTGGCCATGTAGCCTGCTAGCACCCATGGGCAGTTCTGCTGTTGAAGGAAGAGGACCAGGCTTGCTGGAGGATAGGAGTCCACTGTGCCACAGTTGCTATGCGCCAAGTGCATGGGGGATCCTTAACACCCGTCCTCCCCCAAGACTACAACTCCATGGGAGGTGGTTAAACCACATAACCACAGGACTTACCTTCCGCAGCCATACTTCAGTAGACGGACATTTTTGGCGGGGGTGGGGTGGGGGTGGTACTAGGGATTGAACTCATGGGGCACTCAACCACTGAGTCACATCCCAGCCCTATTTTATATTTTATTTAGAGACAGGGTCTCACTGAGCTGCTTAGCGTCTTGCTTTTGCTGAGGCTGGCTTTGAACTTGCAATCTTCCTGCTTCAGCCTCCCAAAGCCACTGGGATTACAGGCATATGCCATTGTGCCCAGCATAGTAGTAGATGGACATTTTCTTTAAAAGATAAATTTTTGCCATCCTTTAACTTTCAAACTCCATCAACTGGTTTTAGATACAGTAGTTTTTGTAGATCATACACTGGTTTAGCATTTTACTTTATTTTTTGGCTAGAAGAATTTAATTCAGGGGCAGTATACTATTGAGCCACATCCCCATCCCGTTTTATTTTTTGAGACAGGGTCTTGCTAAGTTGCTAAGGGTATCACTAAATTGCAATCCTCCCATCTCTGCTTCCTGAGCTACTGGGATTACAGATGTGCACCACCATACCTCGCAGACTTAGCTTTCTAAATCATCATTAAACTACTTCTGACTTCTATGTGGCGGTTCAGTTTATTCTTATTATTTGTGATAACTTATGTTTGATTTCCTTTCAGTTTTCCTTCTTGAGGTCATTATACTTTGTTTTTGTTTCTTTTTCACCTAATTTGCTTTTTCTATCTTCATCAGTGTCCACTTTATTATTTTAAAATCCCAAGAGAAATTTCATTAGAAAACAAAGGGAAGGGCTGGGGATGTGGCTCAAGCGGTAGCGCGCTCGCCTGGCATGCTTGCGGCCGGGGTTTGATCCTCAGCACCACATACAAAGATGTTGTGTCCGCTGAAAACTAAAAGATAAATATTAAAAATTCTCTCTCTCTCTCTAAAAAAAAATGAAGAAAATCGAGAATGCTAGCCAGAAGGATTCTATTTAATGCTGATATAGCAATGACTTAAATGATTCATGTGTTTACAAAAGGCCCACGTTTCATTTTTCTATTAAGAATAGACTATTTTCTGCAATAAGTTTGATATTACTTCTGAAATCTGACTTCTGGTTAAACAACATATCTGCTAGGACATTTTAATCCATACACCTTAACATTATAAATTTTCCTCAACAACTTTAAATACGTGTGAAAGAAAGCATTCACATATTCAAATGTTCTTATGGTTTTACTCCTATATGAATTCTCTGATTCCCATTAGTTGTATTTGTAAAGACTTTCCTACTCCTGTTGTTGTGTCGGGGTTTTGCCTTCAGATCCTACTGATGTTCGATGAGTTTGGCTTGTGACTGTTGGTTTCTCCACATGGAGGGTATTGATAGGAGTTTTCTTCTTGTGTGTTTTCCTTTGATGTTTGGTGAGGGCTGACCTCTGGCTGAAGGTTTTTCTACATTCGTTGCATTCATAGGGTTTTTCCCCAGTGTGAATTCTCTGATGCTTTGTGAGGGCTGACTTTTCATAGAAGGTTTTCCCACACTCAGGGCATCTGTAGGGCTTTTCGCCTGTATGAGTTCTCTGATGCACTACAAGGTTGGATTTCACACAGAAAGATCGCCAGCATTCGTTGCACTTGTAGGGTTTCTCTCCCGTGTGGGTCCTCTGATGTTGAGTCAGGTTGGATTTCACGCAGAAGGTCTTCCCACACTCGTTGCATTTGTATGGCTTCTCTCCCGTGTGAGTTCTCTGATGCACTGTGAGGGCTGATTTCTGGCAGAAGGATTTCCCACATTCACTGCATTCATACGGCTTCTCTCCTGTGTGAGTTCTCTGATGTTCAGTGAGGTTGGACTTCACAAAGAAGGATTTCCCACATTCACTGCACTCGTAGGGCTTTTTCCCTGTGTGTGTGCTCTGATGTTGAGTAAGGCTCGATTTCTTCCGGAAGCTTTCCCCACATTTACCACAGTCGTAAGTTCTCTCTCCTTTGCGACCGCTCCGGTTTTCAGTGAGGTGTGACCTCCCACTTAAGGCTCTTCCACTTTTCTTACTCTCATGAGGTTTTTTCTCCAAGGTCATTCTCTGATGTTGAGTGTACGTTGACTTCTTGCGGGAGGTTTTTTCACACTTATCACCTCCGTCAGCATCCTCTCTGGTGGCGTCTCTCTGATTCAGAGTGAGGTGGGATTTCCTCTCCAAGGCTCTCTTCCTATCATCACGCTGGCTTGGTTCTGTGGTGTGCGTTCGCTGATGCCTAGTGAGGCATGATTTATCATGAAAGGATTCCCCACACTCTGTACAGCCATAGATCTTCTCTCCTGCATGGGTTTTCTCATCTTGACTGGGGTATGACTTCCTTAAGTCTTCCTCACTTTTGTGACACTCATTAGTATTTTCTCCTGGGCACATTCTCTGACATTGGGTGAGGTTTGATTTCTTGCTAAAGGATTTCCCCAATTTACTACATCCAACATGCTTCTCCTGTATGGGAATTCTTTGAAGTGCCTCTTTTGGCTTTCCGCATGACAATTTCCCACTTTTCCTGAATTCATGTGGTTTCCTTTCCCCAAGGATCCTCATATCAGAATTGACCTTTAACTTTTGGTTGAAGGTTCGTCTGTATTTGTCACCTTTAGAGGATGTCTCTCCTGTGTGAGCTCTCTCACATGTAACCAAGGGTGTCTTCCTACGAGAGGCCTTCCTGCAATCATCATGTTCGAGAGGTTGTTCTGGAGACGAACTGTTCTGGACACAGTCCTCCTGAGGACTGTGGGGTCTCTTCCTCTGATCATTTCCCTGGGGCCTGCTCCTTGTATGCATTTTCTCCTGCTTCGTATCGAGGGTCCTACATTCACTGAAGTCAGGAGACTTTCTTCTTAAATGGTTTCTATTGCTAATAATTAATTCTGAAACACTTTTTAAGCTTGTTCCAAATGAGTCACAGTTAGGAGACGTTTTTCCCGAGGGCACTAGGTTCGTGGTCATCTCTACTGTTTCTTTTAAGGTCTCCTTTCCCTCCTTGGGGAGTGTTTTGCTGTGGATAAATCCAGCTGGTCTTGCATATTCGTCTTCATTTTCTTGGCTTTCTTTCATGTCATTGGCTCGCTGGACTTCTAGAAATATGAAAAATTAACCATACATTATACATCTTGGCGCCTGTCTGAAGGAAAGGGCTTGTACACAGTGCCCTGTGCTGAGATGATTCTTGGGTTTCAGGCAGTCTCCTGGGTGGACAACAGTCCTAAGCCAATGTTTCTTCTAGTCTTTTGGGTTATATGAAAACAAAGCCAAAGCCACACACTATACTAGAAAAAGAGAGAAAGCTGAAAAAAACATAAGTAGCTTTGGATTGTTACAAACATGACCTCAAAATGGGTAGAGAGCTTGAAATAAACACAAGAGATGGTGAACTGGGAACAAAGAATGTCAGGAACATGATTGGTCCAAGGATGGAGGACATTCAAAACATGAGGTAGAGAAGGGGAACCCTGAACAGGAGGCAGGGAGGAAGAGGGTGCCCAAGGGAAACAGCAGAGTGAGGAACAGGCTTGCAGAAGATAAGATACCAGATCCCGATTCCTCTCCCTTTCTACCATAATCACCACAGGAGCATCCTTAATCCATTCTATGTGCTTCTCCTCTCTCCCCTTTCCAGACTGCACACCAATCCCAACTAAAGTTATGGAGTCACTCACGTCCTCAGGTCTAAAGGTCAATCCTATAGTTCAGGCCCTATGTCTCTATACAGCTATGATATGGGAAACAATGTCCAATAAATATGAAAATGGATAAGAGGACAAGCCATGACTACAGCAGGATCCAATCCCCTCCATATTCTGATGAGTGGCACTATCATTCAGTTCTACCAGAGTTAATCAATAGTTATCCATCCTGGTGAAAACTCTACTTTCCCTCTTTCAACCCATTGACTAACTTTACCAACTGGTGGTGATCTATCACACACTGAATATTTAAATAGACTTTATCTTTTTTAGCATGGTAAAGTGGAATGGAGAGTACTGTCAGTTCCTGCATGTGCCCCATTCCCACATATGCACAACCTCCCCAACATCAACATATTCTACAAGAGTGGGTTTTTCCCCTGTGTGAATTCGTTGATGCCCCTTACTAACACTCATAGTTCTTAGTTTACCTTAAGGATCACTCTTCGTGTTGTACATTCTGTGGGTCAGGACAAATGTATAATGAGAAGTATCCACCATTATAGTATCATACGGAATAGTTCCACTAAAAATTCTCCATGAATGAATCCTGTTCATCCCTCTCCCAGCCCCTACAACCACTGATCCTTTTACTCAATAGCTTTGTCTTGTCCAGAATGTTGGACAGTTGGAACCATACAGTGTGTAGCCGTTATGGACTGTCTTCATTCACTTCTTGGTGTTTCAGGTTTTCCCATGTCCTTTGATGCCTTGATAGCTTGTTTTGCTTTAGTGTCTAGATATACTATGTTTCTTTATCCATCCACCTACTTAAGGACAACTTGGTTGCTTCCAAGTTTTGGAAGAGGTGGAGAGTCAGAGTGGTGTCCAGAAGTGCCTTTACACACCCATGTGCTGGTTTTTGTAATATAAATTTCAACTCCTAACATTTAATGCCATTTTAATGTTTTCTTCTATTGCTTCTCTTTCCTGTGATAACTAAGCTCTTGGTTATTGGATGTGGCCCAGGGCCCTCTATTTACCTTTGTCTTTCTTTGTTGTAAACAATTTAGCTGAGGGTGATTATTATTATCTTCTGTTACTAACATTTTATGAAATAATATTAACTGTATGCTTAAAAACATTTGACTTGGGACTGGGGTTGTGGCTCAGTGGAAGAGCATTCACCTAGCACATGCAAGGCACTAGGTTTGATCCTCAGCACCCACCACATAAAAATAAATAAGTAAAATGAAGGTATGTGTCCAACTACAACTAAAAATTTTTTTTTAAAAGTCTGGCTTTTCTGCAATAGATAAAACAAATAGAAGTCAATATCCCAACAAAGAATGTGACATTAGTTGTTTTTTTTTTTTAAGTTTTCCAGGGACACAACACCTTTGTTTATATGTGGTGCTGAGGATCGAATCCAGGCCACACGCATGCTAGGCGAGCGCGCTACTGCTTGAGCCACATCCCCAGCCTGACATTAGATTTTTATGCTTAGATTTTAAACTAGATTCTTACACCTAAATTCACGATACATGCTCATGTGCTTATCCCACAAGTCTACAATGCTGTCAGCTCCTATCAGATCAGGCTAATTCCATAAATTGTTGATTTCCAACTACAAACCTACCTCCATCTTTTCCCTTTATTTGGTACACGTTCTGTCCTCTACTTGGAGGCCAGATATCCTTCAGGACAATGCTAATACCCACTGCTTAAAAAACATCCTCACCCCTTTAAGCTCCATTTGTAGTCAAATTTGCATATAAAACTGTCTTCAGAATATATTCTACCACTATTTTCCAGAGTGCTATATGCATAGTTTTTTTTTCTTCCCAACTTCCATTGCTTTGGCAGCTTTTGCACATTATTATCATCGGTATTTTTACTTTGAGGCTTCAGCGGCCTCCAGTCTCCCGTGAAGGTGGAGATGGAGATGACATTGTGTTTTCCTGTTCCTTGTGGCTTCTGGGTGAGGTGAAGAAGGAACGCTGCTGCCGTTACATCCCTGCCTCTGCAGTGGAACTCACTCCTTGCTTCTCGACTCTCTGTCCATGTGGCTTCTGGACACCACTCTGACTCTCCACCTTCATCCGGGATGGATGGGCCTTCTCAGTCTCTCTTGCTAGAGTCCTGTGTCCTCTTGACCTTCAAAGGCTGTGCTTAAAGTGTTGCCCTTGGCCTGTTCTCTCACCTATGATCTTACCCAGGAAAACTGGAATCTTGAGCAGGACCAGAAGCCTTCCCCAGCTCCCTCTGTCACACTCTGCTCCTTCTCCTCGCTCCACCTGCTCGGCCCCAGGGCTTCCTTGTTGCTTTCCCAAGGACACTATTGTCTCAGAGGCTTGGCCCCTGCTGTCCCTCTGGTCTGGGAATCTCTCTGATCACCTGTGGTTCACTCAAACCCTCCATTCAAGACCCATCCCACTCTCCTCTTCAAATGTCCACCTCCTCTAAACGGTCTCCCTGGCCTCCCTTTCTAAAAGGCCCTATCAGACTCCACCTTCTTCATCTGACTCTAGTTTTTCATACTGCTGATGACTGTCTACCCTATTACATATTTATTTGCTAACTAGACAAATTTTTTTTTTTTGGTACCAGAGACTGAACCCAGTGATCCTTATCCACTGAGGCCCATCTCCAGCCCTTTTTACTATTTTATATAGAGACATAGTCTCGCTGAGTTGCTTTAGGAACTTGCTAAGTTGCTGAGGCTGGCTTTGAACTCACTATCCTCCTGCCTCAGCCTCCAAAGCAATGAGATTACAGGTGTGTGCCACCATGCCTGGTGCTAACTAGACCTCTTGATAGAAGTAAAATATTTGCTTCTGTGTCCTCGAGGCTTAGAATGTGACCAGTGCACAGCACGTGCTTGTTAAGCATATGTTTAATAAAGGAAAAAATGAATTCATGCACACTGACCAGTGTTTGGCACAGGAGGAAGGCGAAGAGGAAGGAAAACAGAAATAAAGATGTGGGATGAAGAAAGCAGAAATGAGGTTCTATAAACACCAAGCGAATCTTTCTCTAAAAACCAAACAGGAAACAAAGAACACTTATACCTGGTAGGAGGGCCCACGATGTGTAAGGTATGTGGCCACCTCTGTACTCACTTCTAAACATCGACAGCCTCCGACAGATTTCCAAAAAAACCTTTCAAAGTTACCAAGCCCCAAACTGGCCACTCAGGATCCAATTCTCCAGCTTCTTTCCATCTGACTTCAACTAACCAGCGTGGCTGTGACTTGGCACTTCCCTCTTTAGTATCCACGGCTCTTCTCCTTGCTCCAACCTGCGTATCAGCTCAGGTTTGGTCACACAGTGTCCTGTGATGGGAAATGACATGAGACTTGGCCATGCTGCTTAGGTTCAGGCCCTTTGAAGAACAGAGAAGCACATGTGACCAGTGTCTGGCCCTGGTCTATCACAGCCAGTGGCTAAGCCTCTGCCTGGGGGTGGGGGGCATCTGTCACCTGTCAGAGCTGGGGCCAATGGCTAAGTTCCCTCCCTGGGGGGCTGTGCATCTGGTGAAAAAACCTTTTATCAGGGAAGTGAAAACAGAATATTCTTTCAAGTGTCATAGACCCAACAATCTCAGCATCAGACTTATCACCGTCTACGACAATTTGGCTCCCAAGATAGGAAGTGCATGCTGCCGGGGCTGCGTGGCAGCTGGGCTCACCCAGTGACTCCAGGTGCCTGTAGTTCTCCAGCATCACGTCCCTGTACAGACGTCTCTGCGCAGGGTCCAGAAGCTGCCACTCCTTCTGGGTGAAGTCCACCGACACGTCCTCAAACAACACGGGTCCCTGCAACAGCCCAGGCCTGCTCAGTCTCAAGTCCTCAGGAGCACGCGACATGGGAAATGCTGCTGTGTTCGCTCCACCAGGAAGAGTTACCACTGTTGTCTAACCCTGCCTTTCCTTGTGTTCCAGTGTGTGGGAGAAGCAGAAATCATAACAGAAACACTGGGCCTTCACCCTTATTTATAAATTCATTGATAACTTCATAAAACAATTTGAATTTCCTCTGCATGTCTGGATCTGCTCTGGCTGCAGAAAACACTATGAAAAATGAGACACTGGTCCTGTTTTTAAGGATCTGAAGACTGATGAGAACAGTTTCTATCCACATATTCATGTGCAGTAATAAATAATATGAGATGTGGAAAAAATGGGAGGTCAATCTAGACTGAGGCCAGAAAGAGGGAGGGAAGTTAATTTTCCTTCATGAAGGAGACCAGGATTGGGGTTTTGTGTGAACATGGGCAGTAGCATAAGAAAAGGCACAGACAACGTTAAAATCATACCTGAAGATGAGGGAATTAAAAATATCATAAGAGAAGAAGGTTAGGAACTGGGTGAGATGAAGAAATATGGAAGTATCAGTAGTCAGACAGAAATTTTGGACTTTCCCCTACAGACCAGAGATAGCCAAGATATTTAGTTATCCATCAGCAGAAATTCCTTAGCATCCTTCAGAGGCTTTGGAAATTATGCATGTATGCAATTTTTAAGCTGTTCTCCAAAAGTAAAGGTTGACAACTTTCTTAATTTTTTTTAGATAAAAAAACAAATGCAATGGATATTCTAGTACTTTCCATACATCACTAGATAGGGCAGTGCTGTCCTTGGGGGAAGAAGCCACTTCTTTTTGGAGATCACTTGTATGGACCATGGGGACATCTAAGTAGGTAACATGACTAGCTTTATATTTGGAAAGTATGTTCCAGAAGCACATTGGGGATTTTTAAAGAAGTGATTCTCCACTAGAGGTGACTTTGCCCCTGGCTCTGAAAAATGTCTGGAGGTCTTTTTGGCTATCAAAACTGAGGGAGGTGAGATTGCTCAGCAATTAGTGACCAGAAGCCCGAGATACTGCTAAACCCACAGTGGACAGGCCCCCCCACAACAAAGAATTACATGACCCGAAATACCAATGGCCAAGGGTAGGAAACTTTTCAAGAGCCATCAGAGAGGACAATAGACTAGTGTGAGAGATGAGCGCCTCTCTTAAGGCATAAGCACTGGGTCGAGAAGCCGAAACCGATTCTACATAGAAGTCCCCAGCAATTCTTCATACAATGAAGGAAAATGGACCATTACTCTCAGATGAACCATAAGAGCAGCTGAGTGGATGCTGTCACCACATACTGTACAGACACCAAAACAAAACAGAGCAAAAAACCTGCATTGGGCAGAAAGAGAGACAGAGAGAACCGGGTGTGCTATACTTAAGGAATGTGTGAGATGCAGGGGAATGTCCACACAGCAGCTGGACACCAGTCCCAGGCCTCGGATCTCAGATAAAAGTAGTTTTTGGAAACCAGGCCTAACTCAGCGGTAGCTGAAGCCGTCAGAAGATGACACTTGCTCACAAAGAATATGGACATTGAGGACCCAGGGCTTGAGGGACAGCAGAGAAAGAAAAGCCAGCTCTGGAGTCCAGGAACCAGAATCAGAAGTGGCCAGCCACACCGGCCTCCTCCAGTGCAGTCCTGGTTCACGGTGATGCTCACTAAGCAGCTGACGAATGAGTGCAGAGTGTCTCAGAAGAGACAAGTTCAAGAGCAAGTGACACTCCTGGGTCAACACATGGGCTGGGCACCCCAACAGCAGAATATAGAGATGGAAAACCTCTATGGTTATCACCGCGCAGGCGTACAGGAGGGGCCACCAGCAAGTGGGAAGTTTCGACAAGTTTCTAGAAGACGTGGAGCAGGAGGCAGGCGCGGAGGCACTGGGCTTGCCTCTTAGCACAGACACCGAGTGTCTCAGGTGTGTCCTCAGAGCCCAGCAAGACCTCCCACTGAGAAGCAGCAGAGGCTGGGAGTCCACAGGGGCTGAGGTGGGCAGGAGGACGGCCAGACACCTAGGCAGGTTACTCCCGAGGGTTAATACTCAGGAGAATGTTCCCTAGAAAGAAGCAGGGAACTGGGGCTGGGGCTGGCTCAGAGCACGCGCCTGGCACGTGTGAGGCACGGGGTTCCATTCTTAGCACAACATAAAAATAAATAAATAAAAATAAAGTTTCATCCACCACTAAAAATATATATTCAGAAAAGAAAAAGCAGGAACTGTCCCAGGGAATCTGTGAGAACTTTGCTACCAAAGAGCAAAATCGAGTACTGTGCACAGGGGTACAGCTCTTGTCTTAGGGCAACTCTGGGGAGACAGGGCCGGGGAGGGGGTGCCTGAGCTTGCCTCCCTCCCAATCTATACAGCCTGAAGGGCAAGTCTGTGGACATCTCTGGAGGCCAACCCTGTCATTCAGGGGAAACTGCCCTGGAAACAGCCCCGTGCTGCTGAGACACCCATCAGCCATCTGCACTGACTGAGTGGGGTCTCTGCTTTCCTGCTCACCCAGAAGACAAACCAACAGAAAAGAGCCTGAACCAGAGGAAATCAACAGCCTGCGGATTAAGCCTCCAGAAGACAAGGCTTGACGTCTGATGGATGGATTTATCGTCAGTGAAAACAACAGCCTGAGATGAATAGATTGGAAGCTGGGAAAGAAATTTAACTATCATTGAAGAGATGACTCTTAGACATTCACATCGGTATCTTAAAGTCAGCATAAGAGAGGGCCTTGCTTCCATAAATAAGAGAAGCTGGCTGTGAGACAAGAAAGAGCACACGGCTCTACCCAGATGCTAAATATTGTGTTACTGATTTGGGGAAAACAAAGCCCTCCAGAGAAGGCTTGGAAACAAATGAGTAAATCTCTCCATCACACTCACAAAAACCCACAGAAAACTCAAAACGATGAGATAAAAGTGGAGGAACACAGAGAGGGGACCGGAGAGAGGCTGCAGTGGGATTTCCAGGTGGCGAGGGCAGAGAGGGAGCGGGAAGGAAGCAAACACAGAGACAATGAAAACACCCCTGAGCCTCCGGCGCTTCATCTTTTTAGGGATCATTCAACTGCCAAGCAGGCGGATGGCACAGAGAACAAATAAGCAGCGCTGCCCAGGGAAAAAGCCAAGGCCAGATAAAGGAATGGGGGGGAGGGGGGGGGGAGCAAGCAAGGGGGAGGGGAGATTTTATCTACAAAGGAATGACAATCAAGCTGCCACACCACTCCTCCCCAGATGCCTAGAGATAGTGCAGATTCTTTTTTCTCACAATACTTTGAGAGGAAAGGATTTCAAGATGGAATCTTGAAAGTTGCTCACTCAAAGAACAGAGCAGGGTGCAGGCATCCTCAGGCACCCAGGCTCAGACAGCAGACCAAACAGCGAGCAGGGCAAGGCTGCAGGGGCCACTACCCAAACTCAGCAGGACTCAGAAAGAGAAGAAGACACTCAGTTGACAATCGCAGAGAAAAGACAGTGGAGACTGGGGAGAGCTGTCTGTGAGGCGTGTGCAGGCAAAGTGCTTATGGCTTCAGACAAAGCCACACTTGTGGGTGCCAATTCCCAAGACTCTAGGACAGATGCTACAATGGTGGTGAACCCCAGGCAGGCGGGTCACACCAATTCATCAAGGGCCATTCTGAATGAGGTCATAAAATCAGCCATTGAAAACAAAGGGCGTCTGCTCCTCTGGGTGACCTGGGACTGTCAGCTCTAAGGGTCAGCAGGGAGCACCTGGGACCCCCTTTCCACCTGAGTAGGGTTGACAGAGTTAGTAATGAAAACACAGGCCAATGGGTTACACTTGAACTTCAGATACACAACAAATACGTCTGCAGCGTGAGTGCGTCCCCTGCTTCATTTCATGTGCCCCGTGTCTTGTCTGGACATTCTGTTCCTAAGACAGCTCCATTCCAAGTTCTTGGGCAGGCTGGAATGGAAGCACATAACTTACTCTCAAAACTGGGTGGAGAACTTGCTGTATTCTTGGGCTTGAAGAGATCTCCATCTGGCCAAATATCTAGTGATGTAGCCTTTGAACCACTTCAGCTGTCAGCTTTTGAGAATCACTTAAATCTTTATAGCCCTTAGTAAAAAGTTTGTAATAAAGGTATCTGCCCAATAATGTTGTCAAAATTACATGAGTTAATCCTGGTAGAGTTAACACCCGGTAGGAATAATATCAGAATTTAGCAGTGGCAAGAATATAATATGCAGCCCTAAACTGTAGATTATATTAGAGATGACCAACTATTATGGTTTAGTCACTCTATCTGAAAACTGGGGATGGCAAAAAAATAACCAGAAGATGTATATTCAAACTTAAACTGTAGTTAGAATGTGTGATATAATCATTAACAAAATATTTAAAACATAACATTTGCTGTATAAAAAGAAGAAAAGAAAATGAAAAACAATTAGATGATTCAGACAATCTCCACAAATCTGAGATGCAGGAGGGCTGCATCTTGTTCAGGTGACACAGGTGAAAAATATCCCTGATGTTGATAGGAAAATGTGTCCTATGTTCTAACACCTCCAGGGTGATCAAGAATAGCATCCAATGTAGACTCACAAAATGAGGAAAAAAGAAATTCAAATCACAATGCAGGGAAAAGTCAGAAAATGAAGGAAAGACAAGGGAGAACAATGCAAAGTAACTCTTAGTTTTTCTGAGAACAAGAAGTAATAAGGAAACAATTCACCTGGGAGGTGTTCATTTTCTTCTCTCCTGGAAAAGTTGAGAGAAGCGTGAAGCCAGGGCTGGAGGGGAGGAAAGGAGCACAGAAATCATGAGAAATGATTTTTCGTCCCCTGGAAAGTCCCCAAAGCCTTGCTGAAAAGCTGTACATCTGCTGACAGATGGCCACACGAATGCCACTGTTTCAGGAGGGGCAGGCGTCTTGCCAAAGGGCTCTTGCAACCCTGATATAACCACGTGGAGCTCAGAGAAGCAGGCATTTCACTGGGGGAAGTCGATATTGGTTTCTTACTGGTTTCTTGACATTTCCATGACCTACTTTGATTTACTAACAGACAGACGTAGATTATGAAAGTCATTTAAGAAAGATCTGGTAAACAAACCATGGATATCAAGGATGAGATGCAGGGTCTCCAGTGCAGCATGAAACATGGTGCACCCTGCATTTTTTTTTTTAAATGTCTGTGATTTACCTTAAAAATGTTCCTGTAGGGGCTGGGTTTGTGGCTCAAGTGGTGGAGCACTCACCTAGCATATGTGAGGCACTGGGTTTGATCCTCAGTACCACATAAAAATAAAATAAAGATATTGTATCCACCTAAAACTAAAAAAATAAATATTTTAAAAAAATGTTCCTGTAAAGGGAGGTAGAAAGGGGATGGGGGAAAGCGTATGGATGGATGAATGGGTGTGTGTGTGTGTGTGTGTGTGTGTGCACGCGCGCCCACATGCGCATTTTGAGGGATGAAATAAAATTGTCTACATGCTGAACCTGTGATAAGTACCTTAGTATTTTTTCTATTTCTGTATGTTTTAAATATTTCCATAATAAAAGTATAAAAATGATAAAACAATAAAAACATTATAAACATTTGCTCATTTACTTTCCTAAATATATTTTTAACTCCTTGAGGTTAAAGAATTTCTGGGTCTCTACGGACTGCAGAGAAAGAGAAAGAGTTTCTCTTTTTTCCCCCCTATTTTTTATTTGTGCATTATAGTTGTGCATCATGGTGGGATTTGTTGTTACATATTTGCACAGGCACACAATGTAACAATATAATTTGGCCAATATCACACCCAGTATTCCCCCCTCCCCTCCCCTCCCCTCCCCTCCTCCTGATCCCTCTCTTCTACCCACTGGCCCCTAACCTGCTTTTTTTTCTTTATCCTCTTAGCTTCCACGTACGACCTATGACTCTTGATCCTCTGAGTTTGGCTTATTTCACTTAACAGAATTGTTCTTAAGTTCTAGCCACCTTCTTGCAAATGATATAATTTCATTTTTTTTCCTCTTCTCTCTCTCTCTCTCTCTCTCTCTCTCTCTCTCTCTGGATGAACAGAACTGTGGGAGGAGTGTCTGGGGGGAAGAGACAGTATCTCCCTGGCCTTCTTCCTAACTAGCTTGGCCAGTCCTCTATGCTTCCACTTCTCATGCTGTCTGCCTCTGGTCACCTCCCTCAGCCCAGCTCACCTCCTTCCTTGTTGACTGACAGTTCTTGACAACCTCCGGTACGGGGATGTTATTCAGGGCAGAAGGACCAGGAATTGCTTCACAGAAAGCAAAGTAGACTCTGCCTGCTTCTTAGCCTCTGTCTTGAAGCTGTGGTGCACTGTACCTGGGTGGTGCTGGGGATCTTCGGGTGGGATCCGCTGTCCCCTCCTTCCTTCCTCCCAAGAACTGTGTGATCCAAGGAAATTTGAACCTGGTTGGAGGGAATACATTTGAATAATCAGAACCTTCAGCTGGGTCCCAACTCTGTCTTGGAATTCACCATTCCCAGCAATGATGGTTCCCCCAGTGAGTTGCTGGGACCCATAACATCAGCATTATACAGGAAATAGGCATTCAGACCCACCCCATCAGGAGCTGTGGTGGGACCCAGCCATCAATTGGGTTTCACAAGCCCTCCAGGTGTTTTTGATGCATGCTAGTTTGAGCACTGCCAGAAACCTGGCTCTGGAGCCTGAAAACTGCTGAGGCACAGACAGGTGGCCCCTGATGGAGGGGACTAGAGGCCTCATTATAGAGAACCCCCGAGATAGGAATCCCCAGGAGCCTCAAGGGAAGACTCAGTCCTCACACACTCCAGGTATTTCTTTGTGCCCTCAGAGACATGCTACTGCTACGTGCTGGGGAAAATGAACTTCAGGACAAATCCAGCATGAGATCTGGAAATAAAATGGTTTGGGGTTTGCATCCCAACTCCTTCATCCATGCACCTCACCCCCAGAGTCCAGATTGGTAACATTTGTGGGGGTCTTGGAGAACCACATAATTGAACAGAACGGTGGGAAAGGCAGGTAACCTTGCCAGGTGCTGAGTAAACGCCTCTGCTGATGGCTTGGCAGGTGGTCTTTCCCTCGATGCTCACGACAACCCTGAAGTGGGTTTTAGGAATAACTTTGTTTTACTGATGGGGACACTGAGTCTTTGTTAGGGGCAAGGCTGGAACTTGAACTCAGGCTCTGAAATCAGCCTGTCAAGCAGAACCATCACCTCCCGGAGCCTGCAGGCACGTAGCACGGTTTTAAGAACCCTTCCCCGTCCTGTTGGTATCTGCATCTGACTCGCTAGGTAAAGGCTGGCCAGGGCACGGGCAAATGCGAGAAGCTTGTGCAAACAACTCTTGGCCACTCGAATGCCTCCTCCCAGAGCACTTCATTCTGACCGAGAGACCGTGTCCCATTCCTTATCCGCTCAGGGAAGGCAGCGAACCTCCTGGGTCGCCAGACGCACGCAGAGCGCACTTGAGAACAAGTGTTTTCGGTCCCAGCCTCCGTGGGACTCGCGCAAGTTTGCTTCCACCAGCTGCAGGCACAGACCTACCCCGGGCCCAGCACAGCAACCCTCCGACTTGGGGTCTCACCTGCAGCGCTCGCTCTCCCCGCAGGAGATTCGGGCTCTCCGCCGCGCAGCTGGAGACCGAGGGGCGAACAATGAGCGGAACCGCACATGCGCAGAGGAGCTGCGAGGGACCCCGGCCTCGGGGTAATCCGTCAAAGTCCAGACTCGGTTTCCCACAAGTCTCCGCGTCCCCTTCCCAGAGAGTTTCTGAAGAGTTCCTGCCTTTTTCGGCCACTTGGGTGATGTCTGCTCCCAAGTCGCCTCCACTTTAGTTTGGAACCCTGCTCCTCACCCCGCCCCCCACCCCCCCTTAGGGATTTGAACTTGGTTCCACCACTAAGTATCCACCTTGAGGAGGGAGGATGTGTTGCCTGATTTAACTAATAACAACGAAGGCCGAGCAGCAGAGTGAAGTATTCATAGAAATGAAGCCTATCAGGGTAATAAAAAGATCAGAACTCACGACCCGCAATTTCCCCCACTGCAAATACCACCTCCGTCCCCAAACTGGATTTCAAAAGTGATACGCTAAAAACATAGATAAAGGGGCAAGCGCTCCTCAGTGGAAGGGAGACCCCACCAAAGGCCCGG